AGCCAAGGCTTGGGGATTCCAGAGTGTGCATTGGGTTACTGCTGGAATCTAACCCACTGAAACCGCGTAGTTTATCATTGAGAACACTGCCTAGCAAGCTTTCCCACTGCTTGTCTAGCTAGGACCATCCTACCTGTTACGGCTTTGGCTTGCAGGGTTAACAGGAGCTGAGTAGGAAGAGTCCCTGCCCCCCAGTGACTGGTCTGCTCTCCAAGCGTTGTTGATGAGCCAGCCTGGCTGTGCTGTTATCAGCAGTGCCCTGGATCCGCCTGGTTCAGTAACTGGACCACTGAGAGTGGGCTTGACTCTGTCATTCCTTTGACAAACATGTCTCCTTGGAGCCAGTTTAGTACCAAGAAGACCCTGCTTACTCCCCCCTCCCTCGGAGGATAGTCACTATATATATGTATATCTTATATATATTATTCATACTGGTGTAATATTTCACAGTATTTGTTACCATCTAGCTCACCCAAGTGGTCAAGACGCCCCTCTGCTGTGTGACCCCCGCACTCTCACCACTATTGATAGCCAAGCTTCAGTCTCTGTGCCTAACCTTTGCAACTGCCTCCCTCTAACATTCTATCTTCCCCCTCTTTTTCTGACTTCAAGTCCCGTTTAAAATCCTATTTCTTCAAACATGCCTACAGCCACTTCTCCCTTGTTCAGAGCCCCTGTAAAGTGTTCTGCGACATTACCCTCCATGAAGCTATATTAAATGCAAATTGTTGTCATCATTCCTCATATGTGAGGCTAAATAGAGACTGTCAGCATGTTATAGAGGACATTGCAATATATTTTTTGTTATTATCACAAAAAACCTGATTCTGTCCCATTATATACATAGACATGCCTTCCAGTTAGGTTCTTGGATAGGGACCAGGAACAGGAACCCTGATTGCTCTCCTCCCTCCTCCCCTCCAACTCCCGAAACCGGGTACTAAGAATTGTTATAGCATCCTTATTACCATACGGGTTGAAATCAACTGATTTAAAACAAACTATATTTTCATCCTGATTTATATAGCTCAGTTCTACACCAGCATCTAATTAGTGAACTGATGAGGATGAGAATTGAATAACATACTGCTGTTTATCAAGGTAGCATCAATTCTAACTGTCTGGGGCACAGGCTTATAAACACACGGGATTTTTTTCCTGGTTGAAATAAATACCTTAATTGTAATTAATTAAGTGTTTATTCTGAACATTTTGCTAATCACCATTTATGGATACTAAGTTTAGTGCTTGTGATCACACATTGTATTGAAGATGCGAATGTCAAAAAAGTTATTTTATTTAAGAATTTAGCAATCTATATTTGTACTATTCAAATGCGTCCCTTCTCTCTCTACCTCAACTGCTCCTGAATGACATTCATTGAATGAGATGGAACCTCAGGACACTCATTAGCCTGGATTTTATCTGCATCTCTCACACCGTGGCGCACTCGTTTGCGTCGGTGGAAACGAATGTCAGCATAACATTTTAAAAGTCAAAATAGAAAAAGTCCTTTAGATAAAATGCACCATGGAATCAGTGAATAAGGACAATATACAAAATAATTGTAGACTTGCTGCTATCAGTTAAATTCAGATCCCTTTTTAACTCTTGTTTTGATCACTGGAGAGATGAATATTTGCTGCATTCCAAAGGTAGTTTTAACATAGCAAATCTCAATGTCATTTAATGCCAAATTTCAGATGCGTTTAGAGATGTAGAAAATGCACTGGGAGCACAGAAGATAATAGGGTGATAATTTACATAAATAAATCAGTGAGGTGTACTGCATTGTTTTATTGAAGGTGAAGCTTAAAAACAGATATAAAGACTTAACCTTTATATTAATCTTTACATGTTTACCATTATGCTTCCTCGCTGCTTAATTTGATATAAGTAGTAGCCAGTAAAAAATTGTTTACCATTTAGCAAGAGTCTGTAGGCTCAATGTTGTTGAATTCTTAATCCTGCATAAGCATGAAGCAAGCAGCAATGGCTACAGTCCTGTTGCTTGGTGTGGTGTGAATGGAGCCGCTTTCTGTCAGTAACATGTGGTCTCTTCACTGGAGAGCCTGCGTAAATCCTGTGTAAATAGAGGGAGACTAACAAAAGATGAGCCCCTGCAGCTTGGAGCATTTGGAGCCATTTGGGGGTTGAATGTGCTAAATGCTGCTTATACCGCCTGAAAAGTTGAGGAGAAAGGAGCATAAAATCCCTTTTTTTTNCTCTGCTGTTACCCGGGGGGAGGTTGTTCTGGGCCAGAGAAGCCCGAGGTAAGCCTATGAGGAGTGTTTTTCAGTGCTCCTTTGAGTGTAAAGAAGGTGGCATGGGTCACTGTCTCCTCTTTAACGTAGGAAAACCCACGCAGTTCGTAAATGTTGCATACAACAAAAGAGGTGCAGCTGTTATACAGAACTCCAGCACAGTAGGCCATGCCCTGCTGAAGATCTGGTCACTTAAAAATCTTACAAAAATTCAATTTTAACACACAAGAGCATGCAGCACAGCGGGGCAGAAAGAGAGACTAGTAATTAGAGGTTCAGGTAATGGTTCATTCGGTCAAACTGACAGGAAAGTATTGCGATTTTTAAAATGACCCTGAGTTGATATGGTTTCAGCCTAGTTTTATGTATTGAAACGGACCAAAAAACATTTTGTTTTTAAAAGTAAACATAAATTATGGGGTTGGTGGGTGGGGGGTGGAGGGGATCAACAAATTACCTTATGCCTGGAAAGTGCAACATTTTGTAGCATTTACGTTGAAGAAAACAATCAAGAGGGAGATAGTGGATGATATGAAATGAAGTTTGTAAATAATCAAAATGACATAAACAAACTAGGATTATTTTAATTCAAAAATAATTTCATTGAATACTAGTACTAAAAATTACATATATTTTACTAACTTTTTTTGCCACCCCCAACCCTCCCAATCTTGTTTCCTAATATGCACACACATTTCTGATGCCAGCTTTTTTGGTATAGAATTTTTCTCTTCCCCAGGCACAGCTTTCCAACACTGCCGTAGGCTACAATGCAGCACCTCAGATCCCCAAGGCCCATTGCCTGACTCCTAATAGCCACTCTCCATCTGTGTCACATGGACAGATGATAAGACCTTTCCAGTTTCTGTTTTGGAGAGTACATCCGCACAGGTTAAAATGCCATAGTTGCCAAGGAACAGTCAGAAGCCATTAGCATTTGGGAAAATTTGCCCTGCAGCATTCCTTCCTGGCATCTTGGAAGAGCGGTGTAAATCACCAGCCCTCTGTGGTCGGCAACTGTAATGAGGCTGTGTGAATGTTTCTGGTCCAGCATCATTTTTATGATTATTTCCACCTTTTTGGCTCGCCTTCATGATTCACTTTCGTTGAGAGGTAGCAAAAGTTAGTGGTAGATGAAGGGTTGTGCACTGACATTTGTGCAGATGGAGGGAGCTGCACTGCCTTGGGGCTGGGTGGCTGTAATGAAGTGGCTTGTCAGTCTGTAAATACTGGGGTCGCCTCTTCGATGTGATGGAGGGTATCACATTGCAGTGAAAATGGAAACGTCAATAAAATTAATCTGCCAACTCTTTGCTGTGGGTTTTCAGATTCTGTGGTTGGAGAGGTAAAATTTTTTTTAACTTTGTATAAGAGTTGCTGTGGAAAGGGTCTCATGTAATGTAAGTGTTCGCAATACCAATCCCGGTAATATTATAACTAGAAGACAGTGGTAGAATTAGCTGCTGGGTTTGTAGCATTCCTCAGGAAGCTATGCAGCTCTGGCTACTCTGAGTCCAAAGTTTATTGTTTTAGGCTTTCCTGAACAAGGTTTTTACTTAGCATGGGATTTATGGCATTTACTGCTAATGAATGTCTATTCTTAAATTACAAAACCCACAGTCTCAGTGCAATTTCCAGATGTCCATCCAGAACCTCAGGTTCTTAAACACCAGCAGGGAGCATAAACTCTACACTTCTCTGTTTTCTTCTTTCGTGTGGCTTTAGGCTAATGATGTGCAAGAAAAAAACACACCAGCGGAATAAAAACCCTGATGCTGTTTCAGTATTCTTCATTTATTTTGCATTTGATTATACTTTGGGTCTGTTCTTTCTTCTTTCTTTTTAATGTTATTGGTTCAAATATTAATGTGGAAATATGGTATATATAGGTACTCTGATTGATGCCTCTCAAAAACAGGAGGACAAGCACGTATGAATTTTAAGAAAGTACGAGTCCTGGATTGCCTTGGTGCAGAGTTTTTTAGATACATAATTTAGATGCCCTCTAGGCAGGCTTTCAAGGCATTTTTGCCTGAGGGTAAAGAAAAATAACTATGGCTGTTAAAAGTAAATGATTTTTGCTAATGCACAATTAATGCAAGGAAAAGCAGAACAGTGGTGAGAGGTGATGGAGATAACTCTGGATTTAAGAATGTATCTTGTATTGATATGTACCTAATTCTCTTAAATATAATAGTTGAAAACAGTGTGATGGAGGGATACAGAGGGTGTCATCCCATGCAAATACAATGGGAGGAGGGGGTGATGAGCTGAGGTATGTTTTGTGCAATGAGGCATGACATATTTATTTAGACCTTATACAAAATCCCTGTAACACATTTTTGCTACTTTTTAAGTAGCATTTTTTTAGTTAGAAACTCTGCACCTAAGCCATCCCACATATTTAGGGAATGAAACAAAATTCTAATTGCAGGTTTTGAACCATATATCAGTTTAGTTGGCAGAGAGCTATTTCACTATGTCAGAAGCACAGTAATAATTGAATTAATGATACATGTGTGTTCATGTGAAGTTTATCAAAACAGCATTGGGAGACTTGGTGCCTCACATTAAATATTATTCACATAACAACCCAGTATTTTAATGAGAATTTTTTTTATCAGCTTTCATTACTTCAAATCAGTGTGCAGTTCTGAATAAAATTCAATTAATTTGCATGTTATTAGTTTAAAAACACTCAGAATGTGTAATTTTTTCCCAATTCTGTGATTTCAGGCGATGGGTTAGACAACAGTGTGGCTTCACCAGGTACAGGTGACGACGACGATCCAGATAAGGACAAAAAGCGACAGAAAAAGAGAGGCATTTTCCCCAAAGTAGCTACAAATATTATGAGAGCCTGGCTCTTTCAGCACCTCACGGTATGTACGGTGACAAATATTCATTCATGTGTTGGTTTCTATTACACTCTTTATTACTATCAGATGGTTTGAAGTCCCAAAAAATGTATCTATGCTTAGAAACATTGTCTACATTTTTAGTCTTAAGACAGACAGTTAGTTACCCATTAACAGAAAGGAAGTTTTTAATATAATTATAGATATGGTGTATATATAGTTACTCTGATTGCTGCCTCTCAAAAACACACACAACATTAATTCTCTAAACCTTTCACTGTAGATGATAAAGTTCATAGAAAAAAAACTATGAAAAGGTTAACATGAGGGGAAGCGGGTGAAGCAGTTCCTCCACATTGTGTCTGATGTTTCTGGTCAGAGCCTTTTTTGAGATCAAAAATTACTTCAAGGAAGGCTACATTTCTAATAGAGGGTGGAAGTGAAAGAGACGGAGAGAGAGAGAGAGTGGGAGCACAGTTTATGATGGTGTGCTGCATATATCACGAGGCTCTGAACCAGAAATTTCTTTTGTTATTTACTGGAGAGGTACAGTTTAAACATGAATGATGCTGTAAATATTTTACTTTTTTTTGCTTTGATTCCATTAACCCATTACAAACAGACTTCCTTGGGAATTGTATTATGCATGGACAGGGTCCCCAACTCGACCAGTGAGGGAATCTCAAATTTTAATTTCAATCACATCATTCATGTCAACAGGGAAACTGATCCGTTACCTACTAGTCACCCCTGCTTCACATTTTATTTGTACTCCAAATTGTGGATTCTGCATTCAGGATATTGACAATAGAACTTCCTTTAGACCATCAGTGAAAGTATTCAGCATCATAGACTCGGTGCCACAGAACGACTTTTCAAGCACTGCCATTAAGTGCTATGTATCATAGAAAAATATCTAATGAACTGTTTTGAAAGCAGCAGAAGAATTTTAATGGCTTGTTCAAATTTCGTGCAATTACCTCAGGGAACTGTTCTTAGCTCCTAACTGGAAGGTCAAGACTGGTTGGAAATGGTCACACAGTTGCTTCGTTCAGGCTGGTACCATTGATTATTGGTCAGTTAACTGCATGAAATAGTACACAGAAGGAAGATGTTCCAATAGGGTGGACAGGGAGCAAACTGCTCTCCTCAGTTTGCATCACCTGATGGTCATTCGTGGAACTGAATCCACGACATTTAAGGAAATTTATTTTACTTTCCCAATTCAACAAGGGAGTGCCTTACCAAACCACTTATAAAGGGAGAAAGAGAAATTAAATATGAAGATATCAAATTTAAAAAAATGCTATGCAGAGTTTTCCTATGAAAACTTAACTGCTATAGTCGTGTTAATCAGTATTATCCAGTGTGGATATTTCTCTCTGTTGATATCTTGTTCAGCAAATGGATTGGTCAGGCATTATAATTATATTTGTTCTATTCATTTATTTTTTGTTGAATGCTTTTTTTTTAAAAAAGTATTTATTTCTAAATAAAACATTTCCAAGGGTTTATTTTATTTTTCTAAAGTCATAACTTTGCTGTTTCCGATGTTGTGATGACCAACCCTTTCGAAGTTAACTATAACTTCAGATGTTTGAAGTCAGATTCAGTGAAAAAAAATTGTTGCATTGGGGAAATAATTTAATTGATTACATTTAATACATTTTACTATGTATATTATATGGGGGTAATAATCCCTCCACAATACATAATAACAATAATGTGGTCACTGAATCCATGACTGTTTGTGGGACATCGCTGTGTGCAATTGGCTGCCGCGTATCGTCTACAAAACACACAGTCACTACACTTTACAATATATTCTTTGAAGCGCTTTGAGACGTCTTGAAGACATGATAAGGCATGATAGCAAATGCAAGGATTTTTACACCTCCCTTGTTTAGACATCATGATAGGTTTTAAAGAACATTAAGTTGTATTATTTGACGTACAGTCCTACGACAAGCAATTCATGCTCCGAGATGCTGAATATAGTATACACGTCTGATACTACAGCTGGGAAGCAGCTGCTTCCTTTGTAGCAGCATGTGCAGTGAAGTGTGCAGTTCCTGTCATCACCTGCATACCTTTAATCAAAAAATATTTAATCTCCACACAGCTCAAACTTTACAGCAATATTTTCCACCTGTAAAATTAAATTACTTTGTCACTTTTTTGGCAGATATTGCTTTGTATAACTGTCTTAAGAAACGCCATCAAATTTTAGTGACCTGTTAAAAATACGACTACGTAGGAGAACCAAATTTAATGGTTATAGTTGATCAAGCACTTTCAAATTACCGTAAGTGGAGTAAGTGCACTGTTCAGCAAAACAAGCAAGCACAGATTTAATGACAATGCATTTGAGGAGAGAGTAAAATTACCAAGAGGGGCAAGAAAAAAAACAAGAGTGAGAGAGAGAGAAAGAAAAGGAGGCAATGAACAAAAAAAATACAAGAGCAGGTGAGAAAATAGAGGAAGTGAATTGTTACAGAGCCCTGCACTTCCAAATTGCTTCTTACAGATCTGAGTTCCCAATCTTAACCGAGTCATTTGAAAGAAACAACAAGCAGAGGTTAAGTGATCCGTGAGAGAGGGGAAAGGGAAAATGTCTCTGGTCAACTTTTGGTCGTATTCTTCTGGTTATTTTAACAGGATCATTATCAGCGGTCTGAAATCGAATTGTTTGACCACTCTCTGAGTTAGCGAATGGTGCGTAATGCGTGGTGCAAAAAGTAACTTTTAAAACCTGAGAAGGACAATTTAATGTGGACTCTACAATGAGCTACCAAGATAGAGGTTCCGCTTTTGATCAGTGTACTTTATCTGTTCTAAGTGACCTGCTGATTTTGCACCAATTTAAAGCAGGCTCCCACAATTGGTTTGATTCTGTGGAGAAGAAATATCCAGGGTAAAGTCACAATGTGCCTCACGCATGTAAATGCACGGATAAGTTTTTAATTAAATCTCTTCTCTAACCCTTTGATTTCTCGCTTCATGTATCCAAATTTTGATATTTAGTTTACACAACTGACCGTAATCTTAAGTGTTATAATGGGGAGATGGTTGAAAATTTACAATGCCTCTCTCATCCTTGTTATCTCGTTTTATGCTTTAGGACTGCTGTTTAGAGAAAGTCTGGAAGCAGAGATTTTAAGTTTAGCTCCTTATATTACATCATGAAGATCCAGGCGAATGGACAGCGAATTGGTTTCTCTTTCTCTCTCTCTCCCCCCCCTCTCCCCTCCTCCTCATATTCATGATGTAATGTGAGAGGGAGTTCTGCACAAAATGTCTGCTTCCAATCAGCAGTTCTAAAGCAGGGAAACACGATGATTAAGAGGCATCCATAAGTCTTCAGGTATTTTCCTTCATACCACTTCATATTATGTGACAATTCAGTAGAATACACTTCCCCTTCAAGCAATTTGTTCATCCAGCAGAACTTTTTTTTAAAAAAAACAAGTTACGCTGAAAGTTTGTTTACTACTACTTCAATCAGTAAGGTTCTGAGTTCAGATCCTGTTTTAATCACGCATGGATTTCCTTTATCACATGCATTCACCGAGGGTCAGTTACAAAAAAGAGAAAATCCTTCTCTTGTTTTTGAAGATCAATTTACAATATGATTCAGAGTGTTTAAAAGTCTTATTGATGTTTGAAACTATTAAAGTAAATCATAAAGACTGGGGGAAAAAATGAATATTGGATCCCTATTTCTTATCTGTCATCTTGATGTAAAGACATTATTAGTAAATAAAGGTATATTGATTGTGGCTCAGGGGTCAGGATTAACCAGAATGGTCACTGTTCGGTTGTAGCAGTGGGTATTCTGCCTTGCAGCTATGGCCTTTTCGGAGGTCAGGTGCCCTGTGCCCATTTGCACAGAGGAATTAGACAGAACATGCGTCTGTAGGCTGATTACTTAACCAAAGACAAAATAATGAGTCCTAAGCAAATACTGACTAATTGAAAGGGCTGTAAATCCATTACATATTGGTCAGGGATAATCAGGAGTATTTAATCACTTTTATCTATTCAAGAGCACTGAAGCTGCAACAGCAAAGCCCTGAACCTTGCCATGTGCTTATTATTCTCATCATTATCAAAATTACTTCACAGCTGTTCTTTGCTACATCACCTCAGCTGGAGATTTAGTAACCTGTAAAATGTTTTTAATTTGGAGTCGAGTGAGTATTACTAGGGAAGCTGCTGGGAGGTTTTTCCTGTCCTGAAGGGCATGGCTGTGCAGTGTGCAGACCTTGGGCGAACCACCCACCATAGTATTTTATATCTACGTGCAAGTCACAAAGTTTCATTTTCCTGTCTGCTACTAAGCCTCAACATTTCTTATTTCAATCGAATGATTGTGTTTCCCTTTGACTGAAGTAATGTGAGAATTTTCCCATCTGGCTATGCTAATGCAAACAAGTGTACAACTAACACACTACAATTCAATGCAAGTTCTCTTTATTGTTCTCCCATTTTTAAATACATTGTTTTAAAGCTTTTTNCCCCTCTTTGTGAAGGCCAACCTGTTCTTGTACTACAGTAATCCCTTCCTTAAAGAGTATTGTTTTTCACATCAAAAAGACTAATTGAATTATCTCATTAATTTAATTTGTTAAGCAAATGTATTTTACCATCTCAGGATGTGCTCTTGCAGGGAGGGTCCTAAGACTTTTCCTTTGAATGGGTCGTTGCTGCATTCTAGCATTCATGCATTCATTAGCTTTGTAGGAATAAAGGAACGCTGGTTGTTTTTTTTCAAACACCCAAGCAGCATGGAGCAACTTTTCCATCAACCACAGGGGTCTTTCTACATATGTTCTCAACTCTGAGCCATTGTCACCTACTCTGAACAACTCTGAGGGACAAAAACAACAAAGACTTGCCACAACAATTCTCAGCAGTTAGTTTAATGTGGCAAAAGGGGGAAAAAATAATGAAATAAAGTACAGTTTCCACTAGTCACTGATTGTATTCTTTTTAGCGCTTTGTTTTGTTTCCCTGAATAAATG